AACCACAAAAAAAAAAAAAATCGAAATAAACCTAAATTAACCTTCTTTTCTTTCTAGTATGACTTCAAATTGTAACATGAAACCACAATCGTTTATCCTAAGTAGCTCTTAGTTCCTAACATTATACATCTAATTATAATTAAATTTTATTGTTTTATTGACACTTTTTATTGCCCTTTGAACCGTGTCTAACTGCTTTCCCTGCCATTATAAGTTGTAAATCACTCCAGGAACGTGCAGCTCACGTTACGCTATCGAATTATATTACCTACGAGCTGCTCAAGTGGGTGCCTCGGCAAGAAAAAAGAAGATTGGGTAAGTACTTTATTTCTTGTTTTTCATATTTATTCTTTATTTATTATTATAAAAGTAACTAAAATTAAAAGTACGGATCTTTTTAATTTATTTAAGACTAGATTAGGGAAAATAAGTAATAATAATAATATAATTAAAATGGTTCAACTCGATTGTCGAGGAAAGTTAAGCCTGATTTTTTTTTATAGTGATTATAGTAAAGCACTTAATTTTTATTTAATTAAATAATACACCAAAGAATATAGAACAAATTCACTTACTTCTTAAAATTTTCCTGGCTTTCTATGAGACAAATTCATCCAAGCTATAGGAACGATGTTGCTACTCCGAGTGAAATTAGCGGTTATCTATTCAGAACACAGCGGTATACAATACGCCATTTGATAGATGAAAACCTTGACTTTCTATTGGTTATAGGTAATATATAATAAAATGTAAGAGAGAACTATCAATGAATTGTGAAAGAGAGGATGTGACAGGAGGGGTCTGATTTTTCTATTTGATAGCTCTGTAACCAAAGAAAATTAAAGGCTATAAGAATTATGGTTTGTTTGAGCAATAACGATTTTATAGAGAGTATTTCACATTTTCGAGGGGTGATGGATAAAATAGAGATGATGACATGCTAAGGCAAAATGTTTCGCATGTGTCGCACAAGTGGAAATTCAGGATTTTTTTATATATTTCCTTGTAGTATTAAGAACTTAAAACTTGTATGCTATTAAAATATGGATTATTAGCTAAGATTTTATGCTATTATAATTGGTATAACATAAACAAAGAATAGTTTAATAAAATTGTGAATGTAACACACTAAAACTTTGTGTCATGTGCAGTAAAGTGCACCTGGGCCAATAGGGTTAATTGCTAGCATAACTTATAAAGGTAAATTGTTTTTTTTTTTAAATGAATTTGACATACTGGGATATAAATTGATTCAATAATTTCTTAAAGTTATCTGTGATCTCAAATAGCACACTGTTTTAAATTTCAATGTAACCTCTGAAGCCTATCACTGCTCTCCAATTGACAAAAATTTCTAAAATAAAAAAGTTGACATACTTGTGAAATCCAAGGTTAACCATTCTTTCATTTCTAAGCTGTATCATCAACCTGATAGTTAAATGTCTGGGCAACATTATGAATTTAAATGTAAGTAACACTTTAACATCTGCTTGACCAAATTATTGAAAAAAAGCTATGTTTTGCTCACCTGATGATCCATTTTGACCACTCCATGGTCTGAACCATACTCAAGGTCTGCAGGAACACAGAACAGGGCAACATCTCTTGACCCAGCATTAAGGTTGAGCTCATCTTTTATTAAATAAAATTTAAAATTGTTAACAATACTAAACTATTGTTCATGTGAAGTTGTTTATATAAAAAAAAAAAAATATATATATATATATATATATATATATGGGATAGGTGAGCACTAAATTAATCTACAAAATTCAAATAAACAGTAAAACATTAAAATATTTGTTATTTTATACTACAAATAACTTTTAAAGAACAAAGAATTAAAAAAAACTGTATATACTGTTGATACTATTCTGAAACTGTTAATTCATTAACTATCAATTAATAAATAAAATACGTAGAAATCTGCTGAGGGATTAAGAGACCTACCTAGAAAAAAATTTCATGAAAAGTTTATACATTCTTTTATGTTTAAGGTTATTAATATATCAAAAAACTGAAAGCTTATTACTGTCTTAAGAATAATATATACCCAAACTTTAGAACTTGTTAGAAGAACACAGAAAATATGTCTAGGTTGTAAAAAATTCATTTTTTGAACATGAAACTGTGTGTGCAGACAATAGCATACATAGAGAAATTATAAAAAATATCCTGATTAATGAAAGTAATTCACTTACTTTGTTCTTTTGTCCATAACAACATATCTGTGCTCGCCACCCATACACCAGGTCCATAATTCAAAACCAACTGAAATGTTATGGTTTCTTAAAAAGCTTTCAAAAGAAATATAGTTATATCCCTATTCTTAGTGTACCCTGGTGAAACTTTACACAAAAGCAGAAATAGACAACTGTTCTTGTGAGCTTTCAAAAAGCAAATATTTATAAATGTACTTCTACAGAGTTGTACAAATACTTAAACATTATATTCCCAACAATAACAACCAAAACATTGAAGCAAAAAAGTTACAAGTTATAAGAGGTTCTTCAATTTTATAATAAAAACTTTGCTTGAAATCATGTTGATATTTTGATTCATACTTTAAGTCACTGCATATTCACTGATGATCAGAAGAACATTTTTATAATAACTGCAAAGCAGACAACAACAGTACAGTCTCTAAAGATATTTCCACACTCATGACACAAAACAGTAAATAAATATAGTAAACTAACAGACACCACAATGGATTACTGTGACTACATACAACCAGTACAAGCCAGGTGTAAGAGCAGGACTACAACTGGTCCCGATTGTTTATTTTATTGTTGTTTTTTTTTGGCGTAAAATGTGCAAAAATGGCCTGGTCAAGTACATAATGATACTGAGCAAGAATGGATGGGTTTAACAATTTCCATACTCCCCAGCTTGATGCCAATTTTGGTTAGTGTTCCTTGTAGCAATGCCAGCCATTGCATGGGATCAAATGATACCAAACAGTTAATATAGTATTTAGCTTTACATATCATGTGGCCACTTGAGTTTTTTCTTATCTGTTTTCCTCCTTTTCTTTTGTCTTTTTGGATGTACAAAAATATTAGTGCACACAAGGTGGTGTTATGAAATGTGAAAAGGACATGGAAAACTTACAAGATTAATGATGGAGTTGGTAACTAAAATCAACAGGCAAAACACACCACACAAGAGTCTCTGGGTAGACCAAGGAATAGTAACTAAAAGGAAGGGAAAACCAAAGACACATGAAACTGCTCAGTGGTGTGATGATGATAGTGTTAGGTGTAGTCCACATATCAGTCTGCAAGACCTCTTCCAATGATTAGCATCAAACAAAGAGGCAAGAGAGGCTGGGATATGCTGAATCTGATGGGAGGCAACATTAAGAAATATTTGGTTGGATTTACCCAACGACAAATATGCAAGTTAAAAGAACTGACAAACCCAACTGGTGAAAGTAGAAGAGGTCAAATTCCTAGAAGGAGATAATCTATGCGATAAACAAGCAATAGTAGTATCCATGAAAGGAGGCAGTTTGAGTAAGATAGCAATGGACTACCCTAACTGGATATAAAAGATGATTGGGAATGGAACAACTTTATAATGAGGAAATAGAAAGAAGTGAGATGTGAAAAACCATCTAATCACCCTCCTAGGCAGCCCAAGTCTTCGGAAGGAAGGAGCAATCAGGGAATAAATCAACTGGTCCTCATGATATAGATTATAGAAAGTGTTAAACATACAAATTTCCAAACAATGAGGGTGACAAGCAAGTAGAAGAGAAAAATATGTAAAAGAAAGGGACTAGTGCTGGGCAAGAAGCAAAAGGTGTGGGTAATGCCACTTGGTAATTGCTAATTATTGAGACAGATGGGCATTAATAAAAAAACCAAATAAAATATAGTTCCCAAAAGCAGGTGTCTTCCTGGTTGTTAATGTAAGAAACAAACATAGAAGTGTTGGAATGAATGCTCATGAGATTACCCAACAAACATGACAAAAGATTTTGGCAAGTCCAAAAATCTGGAAACACAACAAAAATGTTGATAAGCAGAGATTGCTCTTCTAGGGACCAGACTTTTGAGAAAGTGGAGGTGTCAAGACTCCCTCTCCAACTGGAAAGGATGGCATCAGTGGAAAGATGCAAGCCAGATGGATGGGGGGAGGAGAATACTACATGTTCCATTGGAGTGATCAAACCACCATGACAGAAGGGTATGAAAAGAAGGATGGAGAGGCACAAAGGCAAATAAGGAATTGCCACAGATCCCTAGAGTTCACTGAAGGACACACACATGTGTAAAGAGAACCTAGAGTCCCCAAAAGTGAGAGAACCTCTCATGAAGAAAGATTGAACAGCCTTCGATACCAAGAACTCTATGATGTGAAAAAGCAAAGGAGATGGTTGAGTCCGCCCCATATGAGAATAAAGAAAACTCTTACAAAGAAGGCAAAGATGCAGAGTATTAGAAGGAAGAGAGCAAGTTAGTGGATGAGAAGAACGAGGAGGCGAGTACAAAGAGCAGGGACAGACCACAAGAAAGAGCTTCAACAATCCAAGGGTTGCCAATGAAAATAGACTAGCATAGAGGGGGGATAGGTGGGCACCAAACCCTCCATAACCAAGAATTGGCTCCAAGGAAGAGTTACCACCAAAAGTCTCAATGGCTCACCCTGTGGAAAAAGGTGATTAGCAAGAAGAAGCAATAGAACCAGGAACAGGAAAAGGGTGGCACCACAGAACTTCAGAGGTTGGGTAGTCGACAGAAGTATCCATGGTCTAGTGATACAGGAAATCAGAGAATAAAAAGAAGATTGTTGGTGAGCAGCACCAGCCCAAGAATCCTAGGAATTGGGAACATCGCAAAAGATTGGTGCAGAGAGAAAAGGGACAACACTTAGGACAAAGTGAGAGTAGAAAGGGGAGATGGATACCAAAAAGGAAAGCATCCAGACTGAGAATATACAAAGAACAGAGAAAGCATGTTAAAATAAAGACAATAGAGGAAGAAATAGAAGCCAAATGGGAAAACAAATAAAAACAGGTGTCTCCATCAAAACTATGAAAAGCCTCAATGACAAGTTGAAGAGAGAAAATATAGCAAAAGAGTAAAGGTAAGATGAAGATGAGTCGAGAAAAAAGCACAGGAGTGAGAGAGAGGTGTGCCTCAAGTAGACAGAATGGACACAAGAGATTAGGGTTCAAGAAATACAGAGGAGTCATGATCTTAGGCCATTACAAACGAATCAGGAAAACAAGGAAAGCTTTGATCATTGACAGGAGGAAGTCAACAAAGTGAAATCCAAGAGCCATTATGATATACAGATGAAAGAGACAGGAGGTTGCATCCTGGGGTTTATCAAATAGAAAAAGAGTTATCTGGTCCTCATTAAAGAGAGAAAAGCCAAAAGCAAAAGCTGGGGTGGAAGGGCTGGCCAAAGTTGTTCATAGACAAGGCAGCAGCTCCACAAAAGGCAATGAAACAGAACAAGGGACTTAAACTAGAGAAAAAGTAGGCAGGATGGAACCAACCACCGGATGCACAGTATCGGTAACAACATATTTGAAAAACATCAGCAGTCAAGAAGGTGTTATACAATGGTTCATTACAGCTCTACAAGATCATGGCAATTTAATATTACCACAATATTTATAGTTCCTCACCATGGACTGAAATCCAAGACCTTTCACACACCAGGTGATTGCTCTACTAAATGAACTATAGATAAACACTGAACAGATAAGCTCCATGAACAGATAAGATGTCTCCAGTCACAGTTTTTTTTCTTCTTTTAATATGTTTGTTGTTGTAAATAGTACAAAGAAGAAATGTAGTGACTAGAGAAAATGTTGAAATCAGGTGGATGGAATGAAAATGTAGCAAAGACAAAAGTAATGTAACACTAAATAAAGAAAGGCAGTCAATCAAACAAAGTAGAAATTCAGAAAGAATGGGAAACAACCATGTCTGATCAAAGCAGTGACAAGAAAAAGAATGGGCCTAAGATCATGTGCTAGTGCTCATGGGGATTGTTGTGCATAGATGTTGTGTTGCCTTCCTACTGGTGGCAGGCTACAACATTATAATGATTACATCATAGCCTGGAGCAGTGCATGTAGACCTATGTAGAGGTGAGAGTTTATTCAAGGATTGTGGCATGCACAGGAAATTCCACAGCAGTAGCAACAAAGGTATTATCTCTTAGTGATGGAAAATAAAATTTGTGACTATTATTTTAAATGTTAATCTTTATACTGTCAAGAATTTTTTAAGATTCTTCTCCAAATCTTTAAATTATCCTAGTGTTTTTAGTTTTCTCCAAAAACATTTATAGCATCCTTGTTTTTAATGTTTCCTACTGGTTTCTTAAACACTTTCGTTTAAGCCTGATGATATCAAGACATTAAATGCATTATTGTAAATCAGTATGCATAAGCTTTTGTGTTAATTATAGCAGTACATATAATTTTACATTGGATGTATGATTTTCTTAGCCCAAGAATAATCAACCACATCCATCAATTTCTTCAAACATTTTTATAAACTATTTATGCACCAAATTACTTGTATCCCATGGTTTTGTTGGTTAACCCTCTCGTCATGGGTAGGTCAAATTGCACGTCATGACTTATTAGAAAGTTACATTCAAAATTTAATTAAACTACTTTATTATCAATGTGTGCAAATAAACTGCACATCAAAACACTGATAAGAAATCAAATATTAATACTATATATGTTTTAAGTTCTTGATTTTATAAGGAAATATATTAGAAAATCCTCAATCTCCCCTAGTATAAGAATTTTAACATTTGTTCTGTAGGTCTTCTCTCTTTTCTAATTTAGTTACCACTCCCTATTTTTTGTTTTTCATGTATATTCTTTATTTATTATGTAACGAATTTGTTATTATATATTTATTTTAATATCAACGTCGTTTAGGTTGAGTTTATATTTAAAAACATGCATAGTTTGTAGTGTTAGATATGTATTGCAAAACTCCTGTCTATTCTCCAAAGTTGTAGAAGATTCTTGAGTAAGAATCAACAATATATGTATGTATGTAAATGCTTAAATGTAGCTCAGTATTGTTACGTAAATCTGAATTTTCTAGACAGCTTCTACATGGCTATAAATATAACCAACACAACGCACCAAAGATAATATCTATTATTAGTTTGCTACAGTCAGTGTACTATAAACTTTGGAAGCTGTAACTGTTATTGTTATAATGCTTATCAATTGAAAAACTTAAGATATTTGACCAGGAATATTTATAAATTTCGAACATTACAAACCATTTAACTTCAGTGGATTCACATCGGACATTAATACTTTTATGAAAACATTACCTAACGTCATCGTTGGAAACTCAATCTCTAATAGCCGTATAAACAGTGAAGACTACAGGGCTAGCTAGCTCCATGTTAAGTGAATTGCGCCTACGTCAACTCGAAATTATCTTGCTCATCGTGAACCCTCGATAAGATATTAAGGAAGTTCCAGACTAGAAACAAGACTTTAT